AATCACAGCTATTTTAGTAAGTGGACACAGGCATTTTGCTAATGGATATCATTTCCTGTCTGACACATTCAGCTCAAGTGTTGGGGGTAGGTGGACAAATGAATACATGACGGTATTTTTAGTTGCACAGTTGGTCCATCTACTGCAGGGGTCCCTAGTGTGGTGCCTGTGGGGTGCCCACCAACACCTTTCCTGGCACCCACCGAATGCTTTTGGAAAGTAGACGGGGCTTCTGATTGGCTACTAGAGATCAGATTGGCTGTGCAGATTAAAATAATATTGTTTTACTTGGAGCTGTCAGCATAGCGTTGGTTTTATTCTCTCACTATTCTTTCCTAGCTTTGGTGTAGTGGTTAGGAGCGTGAACTCTAATCTGGGAGAACCGGGTTTGATTTCCCCACCCCTCCACTTGCAGCTGCTGGATGACCTTGTGTCAGTAATAAGTTCTTTCAGAGCTGTTCTCTCAAGGGCAGTTCCCAAGAGGGCTCTCTCAGCCTCACCTACCTCACAGGGTGTCTGTTGTGAGGAGGGGATGGGAAAGGAGATTGTAAGCCGCTTTGAGACTCCTTCGGGTAGTGAAGGGCGGGGTATAAATCCCATCTCTTTTTCTCTTAATTAAATTGCTCTTCTCCCTGCACTTGGGCTTCCTGTGTGTGTGGAGCTCTGCCTTCTGTGGCAGCCGTTCTGTGGTTGGCTCCACCTCTTCCAGCAGTACTTCTACAGTTGGGCCCACCACCCTGTCAAAATTTCAAAGGTGCCCACAGGCTGAAAAAGTTTTGGGAAACCTGATCTAGTGTCTGTTCTGATAGGAAATGGCTCTTCAGGAACCCAGTGGGGCTTTCTCAGGGTGCGTTCAGACGGGCAGCTAATCCTTCCATTGGCCTGGCTCAAATTTGATCCCTATCTTTTTAATCCGGTGTTGTATAACTAGACAACTTCCCCCATGAATTGCCTTACTGCGCACTGACTCCACTGTCGATTGTCTAGATAGCATCCCCCTGAAGGAGCCGCGTGGTCGTTTGTTTTTTTTTTAAATTCCATCGCACATGCTCATATGCGCTTCAATGTGTGTTTGGTTTTCCATGTATGTGCGTAATCGTGTGCTTAAAGCACTGCCTGAGGGGCACGTAGCCGAAATCCTTACGCCTCCCCATCTCTCCCCATGGAGTGACCAACAGGACAGTCTAAGCATACCCAACTTCTTCGTTCAGTTTCTGTTCTGTTGCAGATGGCCAGGACTGAATGAAACGAGTCCCGACCATCCCCCCTGCCCTGGAGATCTGGATCAGTGGAGGGACTACTTTGCTTGGGGGAAAGACCTATTTTGTCCTCCTTCGAGGTCCAGTTTCAATTAACAAGGTTCATTAATTTAACGGGCCATTGATTAACATGAAATTGTCCTGAACTTTGCGGCCATTGTGCGTTTATGCATATATCGCTTGGCGATTTTTTTAAAATGGCAGCCATTTGGGATGGTCTGGCGCGTGCATGATGTACCCTTAGATTCTCAAACTACTGGGTAGGTGTTTCTGGGGTGGAGAGGCCACCTATAGCTGTTGGTGTGCGAAATTCTGAGGAGGGAGAAGATGGACGGCCTTTCCCCCTTCCAAATAAGTTCTAATGGATCATCTGCCTCTACTTCCAAAAAAGAGAGGAGACAGCTTGGGGCGCGGGGGGGGGGGTAAGGAGTGATACGATCTTGCAGAGAAAGGATTGTCACTGCAGCGACAGCATCTTCCTTGCACTGCTGACTCCGTGCCCTGGCTGGAGTGGCAACGCTTCTCCGTGCCTCTGTGACTCTGCACAGATCTTTGTGCTCACCTGTGTAACAGTTGGTGTTGGCTGTGACATATTGGAAAAGGCTGGAAGAAGTGCTTTGAAATGGTTTGAGAAACAATGCATTGCCATAGTGTCAAATTGCCTTTTGCATCAAGTGTGCCCATTCCAGTAAAACGGGTAGACTGCCTATTCAGTCACCAGCTGGAAATCAGATGACCTGATTTGGGGACTGATTCACATTTTACACGGAAACAAACCCAGTTTTGCTACTGAGGTTACACTTAACATGGAGATGCAGTCAATTGTAGGTCACTGATAAGTGTGCTGGTATAATGCGCACATTCATTGCAGTTTAACATTTTAAGGTAGGAACTGTAAAAGGTTATATGTGCCCCGTCCCCCACAAAACGTATTTTAAAAATGTATCTTTAAAATTCCGTTGCTGTAGCTTGATCAGAAGAAGACTGCTAAGTACCGCAAAGAATCTGTTGCACTCAATGAGGGCTGTTTGTAACAAAGTTTGGAGGGAAATTGCTTCAGATAATATTGTTAAGGCTTGATTTCTTTATAAAAGAAGCGGCCAGCCATAACAAATTATTTTCAACTTCTATTGTTTTGTTGTACGCCAATGTGAAACAGAAACACAATGTTCTTTGTGTTTGGGCAATTTATGTTTAGCCTTCTAGAATTACCAAGGTTGACATTAGCAAACCGTGTTTCACCAATTCTGTGACCCAGTCTTGAACTACAGACATTTTTACAGTCGTCGTTTTGCTGGTTTTTAAATAAGCTCCTCAACTTCTTCTCCATGTTTGTGAAGGTGTACCACTTAGCGAACAGTATAATAAGCTATGAGAGGGATGTAGGTGGGGTTGGGCACTCTCCCACTACTAAAATGGTGCATTTACAGTCTTTATACTTTTCTTCAAAACGTAAAAGTAATTTCCCCCCTCTATGTAATAACCCAGTTATCTATTAAATAATAGAATGTCACGTGCTTACAATGAGTTGGAACATAACAGTTTTTAAGCACAGCCCAGTAAAATCCAAACCATTCTACCCGCTGTGGTTATTTGGTGATATATCTAAGGTGATTTAAGTCTGTTCGTAAAACTGAACATACGAGCATGGTCAGTGTATGATTGCAAGCATGTTAATTGTACAATAGATAGGAGTGGCTGCTACTTCCTGTAAAAAAAGGTAAAGGTGTAAAAGGTTTCCCTTGCTAGTCGAATCTGACTCTAGGGGGCGGTGCTCATCTCCGTTTCCAAGCCGAAGAGCCAGCACTATCCGAAAGTGTTTCTGTGGTCATGTGGCCGGCATGACTAAACGCCGAGGTGCACGGAATGCTGTTACCTTCCCACCGAAGCGGTGCCTATTTATCTACTTGCAGTGTCTTGCTTTCAAACTGCTAGGTCTGTCACGCAGCACTAGGGTCTCAAACTGCTGACCTACAGACCTTCTGGTCTGCAGCTCAGCATCTTAACCTCTGAGCCACCACGGTCCTACTTCCTGTATATTTGGTTGCAAACTCAGAACTCAATCACAAATAAATTTATTTTATTTATTTAAGACACTGAATTGCAGGCTGTGGAGGGTCAGTAGTTCAGCAGTTCGAGACCCGAGTGTGCCGCATGATGGAGTGAGCTCCCGTCTCTAGTTTCAGCTCCTGCCAACCTAGCAGTTTGAAAGCAAGAAATTGCAAGTAGATAAATAGGAACCACTTCGGTGGGAAGGTAACAGCGTTCCGTGCGCCTTGTTTTTTAGTCGCCCCAGCCACATGACCACAGATAAGTCTTCGGACAGCGCTGGCTCTTCGGCTTGGAAACGGAGATGAGCACCGCAACCCTAGAGTCGGACTCGACTGGCTTTCGAGCAAGGGAAACCTTTACCTTTACCTTTAGATTTAAAGTGAACATGACTTAAGGTATAAGTTTTTCTTGATTGCATCTATTGTTTCCTCAAAACAGAAGTATATTGTCTATGTCAGGGATCCCCAGAGGGGTGCCCGTGGGTGCCACAATGCCCGTCAATCCCTTCCTTGGTGCCTGCCAGGTGCTTTTAGAAAGTGGGTGGGTCTAGGTTGAGGACTGGCTATGCAGATTAAAAGGCATCTTATTAAACAGCTTCTGCCTGAAATATTGAAGAGGTACTATTAGAGCCAGTTTGGTGTAGTGGTTAAGGTCGCGGACTCTAATCTGGGAGAACTGGGTTTGATTCCCTACTCCTCCACTTGCAGCTGCTGGATGACCTTGGGCAAGCCATAGATCTGTCAGAGCTTTCCTTGAAAGGGCAGTTCTTGAAAGAGCTCTCTCAGCCCCACCTACCTCACAGGGTATCTGTTGTGGGGTATCCTCCTCCTCCTCCTCCTCTTCCTCCTCCTCCTCTTCTTCTTCTTCTATTATTATTATTATTGTTGTTGTTGTTGTTGTTGTTTATGTATAAACTTGCTCCCTGACATTTTGGGTTGGTTGTGCCACCTCCAGCAGCCATTTTGGTGATTGTGCCTTGTGTCAGAATTCTAAAGGTGCCTGCAGGCTGAAAAAGGTTGGGGACCCCTGGTCTATGTTCATGTGAATTTAAGGGCTACTTCTGCAACTCTTGTCAAAGTTCTGTAATGGGTATGAAGGAGAGTATGCATTACAGACATACCTTACACTGCCATTCATCCCCCCTCCTCACCAAATTATCAAATTCAGGGAAAGCCTTGGGGAGGAGGCACACCCCAGGCAAATATCTGGGTTTTTCCTGCAAAAGCGGAAGCATCCTGTCTGTGGTGGACGGATGTGCCTCTGGACAGGGAAGAGTAGCCAGTTATTTCTGTAAGGTCCCCACAAATAAACAGTACAAGAATCTCTACTCCTGTTTTTAATTCCTTTGAGCGCTGTTGAAGTTATACAGTGCTAAGGATTCAAAGTGCATTCTAAAACTGAAATAACCATTCCCATGCTACTTCCATTTTCAGGAATTGCCAAATGTTCTTTATCTCTTTTTTTAAAAGGTAGATAATAGGAATATATGTCACTGGGGATAAAACAGCTTCCCAGCTTCCCCTGTTCTTTTATTTGCTATTTTATTGACATTTCTTGCAATGGGTAAAACTCAAGCTCTTGTGTTCACCACTGAATTTCATGAAAGAATACGGCTTTAAAAAAAAAATCCCGAAAATAATTTATACTAGCCCTATGCCTAGAACTACAAAACTTTTCTCTCTTTGGCAGATGTCTCTGAGTTCATCGCAAAATGAATTTCAGAAGAAAAAGAGACGTGCCCCTCCTCCACCAGCTCCACCAACTCCCACAATGCCAAACAAGATAGATGAAATGGAGGACAAGAGGCAGAGCACAGTGGGTAAGAACGGCTCTTTCTTTGTTGTGCCAAGTGCATGTGCATTGTGCTGATCTGCAAGCTGCACAGAGAACTGGGAGAAATGTTAAAATGTTCCCCCCCCACCCCTGGACAGGAAACAATGTAATCTTGGGGGGGGGGGATATTAATAGAACAGCATGAAAGTCTGGAAATAAAATAGCTGTTGATATTTCAAGTTAATGGATGAAGAACTTCGGAAGTGGTATCTGGAATGTATGATATTTTCATAATACGATAGGCAATAGGTCGCATCTCAGGATGTAGCCATCGTTGGCCTGTCTCCTTATCACAGTGATCAGGGACTGATTTTCAACAGAAAATATAATCCCGGATTTTGAAGAGCTTAATTTGGGCTGAACCAAGCCTTGAATTTGTGGAAAGTTCGGCCAAGCCAGCTTTCATTAATGCAACACTGGGGAAAGCCAACTTTCTTTGATGGTCTAAAATACTGACTTCTGCAAAGATGGGGTGAGACCTGTGCAAAGCTAAGTCCCACTGATTTCACTGGAGAGTTTAACTGAGCTCCCTCATTGAAATCAATTGGATTTAAAAGTCTTAAATTTAGCTGTAGTTGCTTTTTCCCCCCAAAAGGAGGCTTTTTTGGATCCTTCAGTCCTCTTCCAGATTAATCTACATTAAGATTACTAGACAAGGAAAGAAATGCAGCATACCGAGCGAGGGAGAAATGTTATATTGCTTGTGTGGTCTAATCTCACAGAGAACTGGGTCTTATTTGTGGGTTCTTTCCCCCACGGAACAACTTCTGTGATCAACACTGGCAGGATACATGTGCAGATGCTGTATAACTGTTGTTCATTGCTGCTTATGCTGGCAATTTTAATAGCATTTTGGATGTTGTGAGAACTTATTTATCATTATTATATTGATTTTTGAACTGCCCAATAGAACTTTGGGAGTTGTCCTCCTCCCCCCCCCCCCCCCCCCCCCCAGCAACAGTGGAAAAAGTAGTATAGAAATCATTAAGGCTTTCTTTATTTTGGAAGCTCATCTCAACCACAGACGCACTAGAGGGCTGTATGCAAGCCACTCCATATTAGTCTCAAACTTCCATCTGCAATATGGGAATAATACTGGCCTACCTTACAGGGCTATCCTCCCCTTAATTGTTTGTATCTGGTGCTAGACTAGACTAGATGCAGGACTAGAGGGACTCTTGGTTTCATCTGTGGTAGAACAGTCATGCTCTGGCCTGCAGGCTAGGGCTGTCAGCCTCCAGGTGGGGCCTGGGGATCTCCCGCTTTCACAACTGATCTCCAGCTGACAGAGATCAGCTCCACGGGAGAAAATGTCTGCTTTGAGGGGTGGACTCTGTGGCATTGGACCATGCTGAGGCCCCTCCCTTCCCCAAACCCCACCCTCTCCTGGCTCCACCCCCAAAGTGTCCAGGTATTTTCCAACCCAGACCTGGCAACCCTACTGCAGGCCCTATTTCAGCATGCCCTCCAAGGCATCTAGGACCCAGTGGCTTCCCAAGGTCTCTGCCTAGCCCATGCCACCCATGTGGCTTTCTCAACACCCAGAGGGGCTTTTCTTTCTCTGCTGTTCAACTGTTGCCACCACCTGGCCTTTGTAAGAATTGTTCACTGAGAGGGCCTGGACTCCCAGCTTCCCTTCCCCCTTCTGATGCTTCGCCTCTGAGTCTCCTGCTATCCAGCGTCTGGTTACCACAGCGATAGCTTACTGCCTTGTCCGTCACCGACGGAGCAGCCGCTCACCAGCTGACTGCCTTCCCCTTCCTGGTGCTCCTTTTTAAAATAGTGTGCCCAGAATGATGGCGGTCTAAGTATGGTTCCCAGACCCCCTGCCGACATTGTGCAGTGACACTCTAGTTTTTGGGCAAAACTCTATGGTAAAACCAGCTACAAACCATAGAGTCTTGCCCAAGAATTAGAGCGTCACCCCCTGACATTGGTGACGTGATGATGTCACTTCCGGGTGATGTCCGGGTGCACGAGTGTGCACAAGGCAGAAGATCCCGGAAAGGACCAAGGATACCCCCCGCTGGCTGCCAGGTAGGACCTGACAACCCTAGATCTAAGGTCTACAGAAAACGACTACCAGCATTAAAAGTTATAAAGCATTTATTAAAAGGAAATGTCCACACACGTATTCTCAGCACAGCCACAGATGGCACAAGGGATTCAAAAGAAAAAGGTAAAACGCAGTTCCTCTGTACATGCCCTAGTGGATCTTAGTCTAAGGTGGGCTCCTTAGCTTAAAAGGTTTCAGCTGCTACAAAGGGTTCCCATTACTTTGAAGCCTCTGCCCAGATGTGCAGCCTGGCACATGGCAATGGCTGCCTGCCATAGACCTCAAGCAAGAGTTCTGTCTGCCTTGATGGAATCAGCATCAACCCGCCTCGTTCCCAGGAACTTTGTCATTTTTCTCCTCCCATTGACAGGTCAGGCCAGGTCAAAGAAGCTTTTTCTGAAGTCTCCAGGAATTGTTTCCTGAAGTCTTTCTAGCCCCTTAAGTTCTCTGCTAGATATCGCATGTCTAGCTGGAGTCGTGTGTGTGTTTGTGTGTGTGTGTCTTAACCATCTCATTGTGCCCTCCTGGCCCTTCATTTGCATATTTAAAGGCTTGGTGGGCGAAGCTGGTGAGCAGTGGACTGCCCACCCCATCCTGCCTGTACTCTGCCAAGAGAGAGAGAGAACACTTTTTAAAACACAAGGTGAAGGTTTTTCTCAGTTCCAACCTCCAAAGAAAACCACATTTCTTCACAGCCTCCAACAGGACCATTTCAATCTTTTAATGTTCTCATGCACCCCAAACAATTCTGCACATGCATTCAGCCATGTTAATCATTCATAGGGGATAGGTATGTGTATATTGGGGGCAGTTACCACATATTTCCAAATCATAACATGAATCAATCCGGTATGAAAAATACGTATTCCTTCAGATATTGAACAGGCTTTATATGGTGAAAAATCTTACTGAGATCAGTTGTCATCATGCTTGGTATATCTTAATGAATGGTCACTTTTGACAGGTTTCAGAAGCATATGAGAACTCATATGCTTCAGAAGTAATTAGCCAGTACATTAAGAGGACCATGTTAAAAGGTTTCCTGATGCATTTAAGACTTAATTTTATGCCTTTGGCCTTACATTTCATAAAGCATCCAAGACGTGCATATGTGATATCATAAATGAGCACACTGTCAAGTCTAATTGCTTCCATTACAAATGCCTCATGCTTTAGGCAAAACCTTTTGGCTCTGTTTCTATATTTGCATTCACCTAGTACAGGGGTGGCGAACAAGTTCGACAAAAAGAGCCAAAATTTTAAACTGTGAGAGTCAGAGAGCCACACCACACAGTGACCTGCCAAAACAGACAAACACTCACACGACGTGATGACGCAGCCTGGGGGCGGGACTACGCGCTCGGAGATCTCTCCTCAGAGGTCCCTCCTCAGAAGCAGCATAACAAAATCCAAACTTGGCAAACGACGTGATGACGCAGCCTGGGGGCGGGACTACGCGCTCGGAGATCTCTCCTCAGAGGTCCCTCCTCAGAAGCAGCATAACAAAATCCAAACTTGGCAAACGACGTGATGACGCAGCCTGGGGGCGGGACTACGCGCTCGGAGATCTCTCCTCAGAGGTCCCTCCTCAGAAGCAGCATAACAAAATCCAAACTTGGCAAAGAGCCACAGTATACAAAATAATGATAAGAGGCAAAGAGCCGCATTCATTTTGGCCGGGAGCCGCATGCGGCTCGAGAGCCACGTGTTCGCCACCCCTGACCTAGTACCTCACCTTTAATGCCCCAGGACTGAAGTGGCGACAGGTGTCCACTTTCCCGTGACATGCCTGCACCATTGCCATCTTTATTTGCATCCTCTAAGAATTTAATATGGTGAATGACAGTTTTCAAAAAAATTAGTCTCTTTAGTCGTTCTGACTGTCATGACTTTCTGCTGTTCCGTCTGTAACTATGGCACATTTGGTAACAACATGGAGAAGGATTTGTGACTGCCTAATAATTTTGCATTGTGGTCTGGGACAGCTTGGATGAAGGAGAACCAAACTTATGTCTGGTGGTCCAGACACGATGTAGTGGATAAAGTGTCCAGACTGAACTCAGTTCAGATTCCCAGCTCAGTAGTGGAGCTCTCTCAGACTAGTCTATCTCACAGGTTTCTTGTGAGAATAAAGAATAAGGAGTCCATACGCAGCACTGGAAAAAGGGTGATGGGATACTTTATTTCTATCATGCACAAAAGCTAGCACAAACCGCCTTGAGCCACGAGGTAAAGTTGGGGCACAAATATTCAAATAAATAAGCAGGAGAAAGGAGAACAAAATACGATAAAGTGCAGCGCTGATGTTCACTTCTGACCAGACCAGACCACTCAAAACCAAAAAGATGAGTTCAAGTAAGCAATTACTCATGGCATGGTGATCATTTATGATTTTGGGGACTTACAGTACAGTCCTGTGCAGAGTTACACCACTGTGAGCCCACTGAAATAAATGGGCCTAGACTAGAGTAATCGTGCGTCGAATTGTACTACCAAATGACCGTGGGGGGAAAAAACATGGATTGGCTTATACATCTTCAGTGTGATCTTTGACATGATGGTCTATTAGGTGCCACTAATGAGGACACAATGAGACAACCTTCTTTCCAGACACTGGTCAGTGGGGTAGTGGTTTTGGGAAGGAGATGATTGGATGCATTAAGGCAAAGCTAAACAGTAGACAATTAACGTGATGTTACAGTAACTAGTGAATTCTAATTGATTCCCCTGTAGGTGATGGACGGCATGTGCCACAAAAGCCTCCTAGAGGCAACACGCGTGGTCCACCCCAGTTAGTGATTCCCCCGCCCCCACCATACCCTCCTCCAGACTCAGATATGGACCCACCTGTATTGTACAATGGAACAGATGGTACAGACACAACCAAGCTGGTACCTAAATGTATGTTTGAATAACTGTGTGTTTTGTTCTTCACTTATGTACCAACAAGGGGGAGGGTGGCTTTTCCAGACTTTCCTCTGTTCTCTTTCCAGCCATACATGTGCTTTCCTTTCCAGCCTCTTTCCTTTCTATGCTGCTCAATGCATTTATATTAACTTGGACTAATGACATAGATGCAGTGATGTGGACTCTTTACTAATGATGATCATTATTATCTTGAGAAGGTAATGCTTGCAAAGAACACTAAGTTATGCACTTCAAGCTGAAATCGTGTGCTTTGTTTAGTTTTGTCCCATGTAACTTAGTAGTGTTTTTTCCCTTTCAATTAACTTTGTACCCAATCTCGCATGAAGATTCTCCTTTGGGACATAGTACTAAATAGCCCACATTCAACAGAGGTTCCCCAACTTCAGCAACCCATTTTGCATTAAAAAATTTCACAGATCCCTAAACCCTGTCTCCAAAGTATTGGAGACTTTGTTGGTCTTTAAGGGTCCCACTTAAACTTTGTTATACTGCTTCAGACCAACACGGCTACCCACCTGGATCTACTGGTTTCACCCGATTACCCTTCATTGCTGCAGCAGCCCAGTCTGTGATGTGAAATCCCAGGTTTCCAGGCTGCTTGAGGAGAGGGACAGCATGGAACCATCTACTTCACCAACAGCTTCTGCTAGCTTTTCAGCTAGCTTTTCTGCCGGATCCACCCCATAGTTTACATTCATCTATATATCTAATTCCCAACTTGCCCCCTCCGTGCGGATACTTAAATCAGCACGGAGGAGGCAGCTGGGGGGCTGGGGGAGGTTTGTGTACACGTGGGCCAGTCCCCACGTGTGCACAAAAATAAAAAAAGTTAAAAAAAATTCGGGGGGATGTTAAAATCCCCCTGAAAGTGCAAGAGCGTCTCCTGCGCATGCGCAGGAGACGCTCTGCGAACGCTGCCGCCGGGTGGGTAGGGAGGGGGGGCGGCCGGGGAGGAGAGCCTAGCTGCCGCCGCTGCCGCCTCCTCCCCCGAGCCGGCCGGCC